GTCCACTACGAAGAAATTTTTGATTTTGAACTTGAGCTCCTTACACCCTTATGGCAAGCCGTGCTTGGGTTACACTGCTCGGCTACGGTTCGTGCTACTCGGTGACAGTACACGCTGCTCGGCAACTGCTCACAACTGCTCGGCAACTCATCACGGTGGTCAGACCATGAGTTCGACTGCTCAGCTTCGTTCGCACCTGCTCGGACAAGCTCAAGACGGCATTGCACAATGGATACAAGGCGCTCGGGGACTAGCTGTGGGGGGTATGACCCCGGATACCCATGGCAGACCACATGGGCTGTGCCCTCAGGGGCGGCGCAGCCCACAAGACGAAGCCTTGCGGGGCACGACTTTGCTCAGCGCCTCCCGCAAGACATCTAGAAGATATCCTGAAGATACTACGAGATCTGTTAGGATATACATGATCCCAAGATTCCTGTAATCAGTTATTACTTTCCAATTATCTCTCAGATCTAACCGACTTGTAACCCTGCTCCTCGGACTATATAAGGCGGGCAGGGACCCCTCCAAACTCACGCAATATCATACGATAGCTAATACAAACCAACAGACCACAGGAGTAGGGTATTACGTCATACTGACGGCCTGAACTTGTCTAACTCGTGTGGCTCTATTGCCTTCTTGTTCTTGATCTCACGCTCCTCAACCGATCAATCTACCTTCGTGGGATACCCCTCGGAGGACTGCCAACGATATTCTGTCGATAGCTGGGGCCTGGTGTCAAAACCATGAGGGCGAAGTTGGTATGATCTCACCTGGGAACTTCGCGTCCTACCCCTTGAGGATTGCGATGCCGGTGGAGATGATGAGGTGGTGGACCAGGATGGGGTGCTTCACCTTGGACACCAGCACCGCATACACCTCCTCCAGCACCCACAGGAACTTGCTTGCCAACTGGCAAAGCACCGACTCCGCCATAGCCTCTGCCTTGCCAAGGTGGTTGGCGTTGGTGGTGTAGCAAGGGCGCCCCATGAGGCCTCAGAGCGGACCGTGGAGGAGCCCAGCGAGACGTGGAAGTCAGATGTGGCGGCTTTCCGCATTGGGTAAATGAGGGCGTGAAAGCCACCAAGGTAGAGCGCGAGGCAGCGGACCGGGATGTCATGGTCGTTGGGCCTGAAGACAGCGCTGAAGGACTCGTCGATGCCGAACTCCTCAAGCGGCAGGACGTGCACCGCATCCCTGACGACTATGGATGTGAAGGCACCGTCGTTGCAGAGGTAGAGACAGATCCCCATGCTGGAGTTTCTGTACCCGACGACGAGGACACGCTTGCCGCGGTACGCTTCGCCAAACTTGTACCCGAAGATGTGAGAGACGGGGCCAGTGAAGTCCTGGGCGCCCTCGAACTCTGGAACGATGCGTTCGGTGTTCTCGCCCTTGGCGACGATGAATTGGCCAAGCATGGCGAAGAAGAGGTCTAGGTGGAAGGAGGGCAAGCAGACACGAGATTCGTCAACGCCAGTCACCACCTCGAGCTCAGCCATGTTGGGTTCTCAGAGATTGTAGCAGACGGATTGCCTGCTCATGCCGCCATTGTAGTTGTCATCGCCCTAGTGGAATACCTCCTTCTAGAGCGCTCTGCTGGGGACATCAGCGAAGCAGTGGCCACCGGCCGGGCAAACCGTCGAGCAGTTTGTCTGCATTGACCCCGCAACCACCACCCATGCTGAGTGCCCATGACCTACTGCGCCTATAGCATGGCGCGAGCGCCTAGCCAATGCAACCATTGGCTTGAATGAGCGGCGCGTTGTGGTGGGCGTAGCCAGACTCTAGGTCATCTTCGAGGGAGCCATCATAACCACTGAGCCGAATGGCACGGAGCGCACACTCGACGAGGCCGATGTGGAAGGACTCGAAGGCATAGATGGCACGATGTCCCATGCCCGGAGGTCCAACTCTAGCTTGCATGCCGTGACCTGGTATGGGTTGAGGAGGTGGCGCTGCGCCTCAGCGTGCGCGGCAACGACGTAGGCGAGGAGCGCGGGGTGCTTGGAGATGGAGAGCCCGAGCGGGAACTTGGTCATGTCACCATGGTGGAGGATGGGGCGGAAGGAGACGCGGCCACTGGTGGTACTAGAGAGCTCGGAGTCGGAGACTGCATCGGGCGTGGGCGCAAAGAGGAAGACATGGAGGCGGGGCGGCCTGATGAGTGCCCGCATCCTAGCCTCGCACTTGGAGAGTGCCTCCTTGAGGGCCGTGATGTTTGCGACCTGTAGCTTCTCCTCGAGCTCCTAGATTCGATGCTGGTGCTCTGCTGGGACAGACTCATCGGGCTCCTTCCCTGATGGAAGTAGCAGTGGTGGCGGACGAGACGGATTTGGAGGGGGTGAGACCGTTGTCGATGCGGATCTGGCCGGTGGACATGAGCCCGACGAAGACGACATCAGCGGAGAGGTCACGCTCCTCCGCGGTGTGGGCAGGCTATTCAAACAACCCTCCCTAGTTGTCTGGAACCATCACGGCATTGACGGCGGCAGGCCGCTACTCGTAGATGCGCTCCTCCATGACGTGGACAGGTTCCTTGAACCATCCGCCCTAGTTGTCGGCCATGACCTGCGGTGTCACGCTAAACTGCTCGATGCCAACGATGCGGAGCTCCTCGGCGGCAACTCGCTGCTCGCTCATCAGCGGAGAGGAAGGCCGCTCCCACTGAGCCTCGATCTCATCCAACTTCCTGAGGATCTCGGCGTAGGCGAGCTTGTGGGAGGTATTCATGGTGGAATACCAAAATCGATGGTTCTGATACCAGGTGTCAGCAACCCAACTGGATTGCTCACAAATAACTTGATTCAAGTAGCTGGGATACAAGACCTTAGGGAGAGGGAGGTCTGGAATCAGCAAGGGATAGAGAAGCAGGATACAGAGAGAAAGAGAGAGTTAGGGAAGATGAACAATAACTAAAAGGAATATTCTTGATATTTGGTAATTTGTTTGATGCCCCTCTTTGGCCTCATCCCGTTCCTTTTGTAGCCAGGGCGTTAGTATGGCTTGGGCCCACCTGGCAGGTGGTCCCTGACAATGGGTGCAGATCAAGGGCGTGTTCGGCTGGCTTAAAGCCAGCCGGCTGGCTTGTTTTTCCTCTCACAGAATCACTGTTCACGTCCTGCCAGAACAGTATTTTTCTCTCACAACAATCAGCCGGAACAGTATTTTTCAGTCCTGCCAAACAGGCCCCAAGGATGCATAACGACAAGTTTGAAACTTGCTACGTACAGTTGTGTGTTAGTGTTTTTGTTAATTTATTTAGTACTGGGTGAGTGTCACCGTGTTGAAGTGAAAAAAAGACCTACTTGATAGGTGCCAAAGCAGTATAAGAGAGTCTATTCCCTTACGGATATATAAGCAGGGGGCAGTCCATATATAAGCAGTATAAGAGATGTCACGTCCTCACGACACTACAAGAAGAAACTTTACTGTACAATGTTTAGTTTCTTCCGTGGGTCCAAATAATTTTCTTGCCATCTTCCACCCACAAACCTTCTATCCTCTATCCACTTCTTCTCCCTTCCTCGTCCTCTTGGCCTCTTCTCTTCAAACTCCACGGCGAGAGGGCTGGCATATTTTTATGGGCAATTTTGATCCATAAGAATATATCTAGTTTCTAAGATTTACTTGGGGGTGGGGATGGGGGCATATATGTTGACGACTAAAATTAACAAGAGAAATCAGCTTAACCGCTTTGAGAAATTGTCAAATCGTAATTTTGACTTCACCATTTTGTGGCTCTTGACAAGATAATAAAAAAATACATTTGTGGACATCCATTTTTGGAGTTCGGATGAGATAGTTATGTCCATTAGAAGTTCCAAGTCCTTAATCAACTTGGCTGGGTTTGGTAAACTAATTTGAGTTAAAAGTTAGATTTTTACACTGGAATTGTAAGGAGTTTCAACTCTCGTTTAAGCCAAGACATCCCCACCATGTAAATATGAAGGGCCACGGCCAATTAATACACACCCAATCAAATTGAAACAATCCATTTCTTCTCTTTTTCATCTTGTTTTCTCCTTATCCTTGTGTTGCCACACCCTACTCAATGTACATCTATTTGATGATCAAAGGTGGCATCCTAGGCTTGCTGGTTGAACCATGGCAATCCAATGATGCCCATGCCCTAATAGGGTCCCTCTCACCCGAGAGTTTCAATGAGAATCTAGTCATTCATCGTGAAATAAAGCACGATAGGTACACCCTTTGTTGGTTTACTCACGAATGTAGCTGTCATTCACCTTGAAAATGTCATAATTACCCTCTCTCAGGTGATACCCGAGAATTCTTTGCTTGGCCAGTTTCTACTTTTTTTTACGGCAAAATTTGTGGAGGAGATCCCAGTTTCTACATATTTGTAGTGAGTTAACCCGATCACGATCTGCACAAGCTGTGCTTTGGTGTTTGACCAAACTTTGTGTCCACTAACGACCTTAGACCATAGACACAGCAAATGAATTGACATTGTGCTTCAGCTCTATGACAAATGTCTCATTTTTTTCTTGTTAGCAATATATGTGTCTTATATCTTCTAGTGAGGAAGCTAAGCTACTAGCTTAGTTGGTCAAGGGTGTGGATGCATACCCAGATCATCTAGGTAAGTCCTCTTACCTCAACAGAGCGAATTTAGATGTCTATTTTCTTTTAATACAAAATGACATCTAGTTCCTCCTAGGTTGATCTAGGTTTTTTTTGTCTTGTCTTCTAGTGGGATTTTGGTAACCATTTTGCCTGTTTTAAAGGGCCAGTGACCGGCGAATCATGATACCTCACATGAAATAATTTGACTAAGGTGAGAGTCCCAGAAGTAGATTATGTGCTACAAATAAGTGTGCAATTTATTTTGCATTACTTTAGAATTAATGGTCGTCCTTGTGTGCCATATAGTTACTATTCCTTCAGAGCAGATTTGTAACGCTAGCATTATTTATCACACACTAGCCATATATTCATTTTCACACACAAGAACGAGCTTTTACAATCATTCATTCTTAGCCATCCACATTCCTGACGATGAGAGGCATCCCAAGCTTGGGTGTCAAGGACAGGAGATACTTGGGCTTGTGAACATACTCTGGGGAGAGGGAGAAGGAGAACCTCCTGAGGATCATCGCCATGACAACCTGTACTTCTACGATGCCGAAGCTCTGTCCAGTGCACACTCTCAGGCCCAGGGAGAAAGCCAGCAGCGCCTTGGGATCCTTGGCTGCCTTTGTGAGGCCGTGCTCGAACCTCATGGGGTTGAACTCATCGGCGTCGGCGCCCCAGACCTGCTTGTCCCGGTGCAGCATGGCGATGGGGATCGAAATGACTGTGCCCTGGGGCACCTTGATGTCTCCAAGGACGGCGTCCGAGGCAGCTCTCCGCTGTATGTACACGATCGGGGGTAGAGGCGCGATGTCTCCAGCAACACCATGTATAACTGCACATGCATGGGTCATGGGTGAATCAGTGAATGTTTGTTTACATACGGTGAAGCAGCATGCTCATCGTATTGGTTATTACGTACCAGCTTGAGCTTGGCGAGAACATCGGCGTGGGGGACCTCGCCGTCGCCATCGCCGTCGCTGGTGCAGCAGAATTCCCTGAAGACCTCCTCCCTGACTTTGTGCTGCCACTCCGGGTGCACGGCGAGAAGGAACATGGCCCAGACGAGGAGGGTGGCCGTGGTTTCCTGCCCCGCGGCGAAGAAGGTCTTGCACTCGTCGATCACCTCGTCGGTTGTCAGCGTCTCTCCGTTGTTGCCATGCTGCTGCTGCTGCGGTGTCCACGCTTCTAGCAGCAGCCCGAATAGGTCGCCCTGCCGGCGCCCCCGCCGCCGCGCCCACCACACTTGGCTCCGTCGGCGGCCAGCCGCGCCTGCATGATGGACATGATCTTGCTTCTCAGCTGTTTGTTCAGACGTCGGACGTGCAGGTTACGCCGAGTTGGCAGATACCTAAACAAACGAAACAAAATTACTCGGTTGTTGGTGCTGCATGCATATGCGAATACAGAATACTAGCACCAGTGTAACATACCAGAGTATTGGAGCATCCAGCATGGCCGCAGTGGCAAGCTTCTGCATCTCTCGCATCAAGACGATGACCTCATCGACCTCCCAGTGGCTCGTGCCGAAGGCGACGCGGCCGTTGACCTTGGCGGTCAGGTCGTTGAAGGCGTGGATCATGTCTATCTCCGCTGATTCCTTGTCGCCGCTTTGGTGAATCTGCTCGCGCCATTGCTGCATCATTTGCTTGGTTACCTCTGCCGTCACCGCCGACATGCTCTGAACACGCGCAGCAGGCCGGGCAAATGAAATCAAGAACCAGTCAGTTGCTATATTATATACTACTTGTAATAATGTTTGTTTGAGAAAGCAGGAAAGAAGGCTCATGCATGTTCTATCTCATGACCTTGATCGTCTCATGGTTGAACGCGGGGAGGACCACTTTGCGGTGCCGCTTCCAATCGTCTCCGTTTATCAGTATGACACCGTTGCCGAAGAGGAATTTGAGCACGGGGATCATGAAGTCCTTCTGATACAGGCCCGTCCTGTCTGTCAGCACTTGCTTAATCAGCTGTAGATCCGTAGAGAAGAGAGCGGGAATCGGCCCGATCCAGAACAGAAACGTTCTCCCTGTAAGAATCATGGAACACATGTATATTGGCGATGAGGTTCAGTTTAATCAAAATCTTAAAGATAATTCTCGCAAAAAAAAAAGAAATCTTAAAGATAATGTCTTGCCAGCACTGGTTCACGGGTAACGACCAACCATTCTTTGGACACTGTAGCATTACATAGTTGTTAACAATTTCTTCTAAAGAAGAAAGCAAAAAAAAAAAAGAATTAGCACGGGTAGTCTTTTACCTACCATAGTCTGCGACCCATCTGTGGAACTGCGGCAGGAGGACGGGCATGATGTCGTGGCAGGCGGCGTCCAGGGGCGCCACGCCTCTCCGGCCGGCCATCAGCAGCCTCTTCGCCTCCGGCAAGGACCCTGCCAGGAACGTGTAGGGCGGGCCCCGGACGCCCTGCCTCGCGAACGACCGCGCCACGGCGTGCGGCCGCCACGCTAGACGCCACAGCGCGAGCAGCAGCGCCAGGAGCGCGGCCAGCTGCACGGCCACCACCATGGCCGCCGATCGATGCGTAAGGCTTGATCAGAGCAGAGGTCCTTTTTGTTTTCCCCACCCACTCACCCACTGAAACCCAGGCGTGCGGCTACCATGTGGGTGTGGAGCGTCTTGCTTGTATTATTCATCATAATATGCTATATAGTTCCTCACCAAAAAAAAAAAGATATATAGATCGAGCATGCATGGCCCGTTAGCAGCATGTGTGTACACTACTACTAGAAAACAGACCTTTCACCCACTTTGATTTTAGCCTTTAGTCTCGATATTTTTTACGTTCGGGACTAAAGAACTTTTAGTCCCGGTTCGTAATACCAACTAGGACTAAAAGTCATCTTTAGTCCTGGTTGGTGTCATCGACCCGGAGTAAAAGTCCACCAACTTTTAGTCCCGGTTAGTAACACCAACCGGGATAAAAGGTGACCTTTAATCTCGGTTGGTGTCTTCAACCGGGACTAAAAAATCTTTACCCGGGACTAAAAGGTCTCCACGAGTCTATTCAAAAAGAGAAGCACATGACTACATCACAAGTGGTGTCAGATTGAGTTGGTAATGTACCTATGCGCGTGAGGAGAGAGGTGTTGGGTTGAATCTCACGTGAAACAAGCGAGGCCTCGAGGATTTCCTTTATTTTTTCTTCCGTGGGTGACCTTTAGTCCGGTTCCTGGACCCCCCGGGAATTTAGTCCCGGTTGGGAAAACCGGGACTAAAGGGCCTTCCCAACCGGGACTAAAACCCGTTTCTCTAGTAGTGGTAGTATGCGGCTGACTGTGCCTTTTTTTCAAAGCATAAATCTTAGCGGTGAGTTTCATGACGTTGTTATCAAAACTGCACATCAGTTTTGTGTTGGTAACTATGACAACATGTGTCGGTGTTTCGTACAAGCACCGGCAAGTGAATTTATAGTAATGCGCGTTAGGCTCGGATGGTGCGCTAAAGGAGACAGATTTATCTTTATTTGGGCAAAAACGTCCCTACGTCCGGTTTTGTTCTTTGCTTGTGTTATTAGCACCGTAACGATCTGTAGTAAGGGATACAAACTGCCGAGAGAGGGACTGGTCCCAAGTCTCTAATCGAAGGATTGAAAGGTGGTCAAGAGCTTCGTAGCTGCTTGAATGTGTGTGAGTGCGTTCTATTGTTTTTGTCCTCCTTTTTCTTTCGTCCCCCTTGATAGAAGAAGCGCATCCCCTTTTATAGGCGAAGGGGCGGCTTTACAAGGGTAAGGGCTCCAGGACGCGTACTCTACTTAGTCTTGTGGCTCACGTCTACCTGGTCAGGTCCTCCACCCTGATGAGTGCGAAGGAAGATAAGTGTTTACAATGTTGTCGATGTCTCTGCAGGATGTCAGGTTAGTCACGAATCTTGCCTGCTTGCAGGTATGGGCCTGCTTGATCTGATGGTTTTGACTTATGAGCCTCCCCGACCTTGCTCCCACGCCTTACGGTTCTCATGAGTCCTCGTTGGGAGAATCTTGGGTCGGGGTCGGTGTAACGCCGTGGTCAAGGCCTTCATTTGGGAGGACACGAGGGGGTCGGGAAAGGCGCCGCTCCCTCGGGTCCAACGTGTGGTGACGGAATACCCATCGTTCGTGGAGATAGCAAATCCTTTCTGGATCGTAGCGGTTGTCGTATATCTTCGTCCGGGTTCCGTGTCCCGGAGTGAAGGCGGCGCCTACAACTCTGAGGTGAGGTGCACGCACTGTAATACCTTTTGGGCTCTGGGCGCGGAAGGGTCTAAAGCTTTTTAGTCTGTCGTTCCTGGCGGTCCTTTTCTGCCAGAAGCAGGTATGGTCGTTGGAGCCATGGTTGACCTGAGCGTCTTGTCTCGTCCCCTGCACCCATCATTATGAGGATAGATATCGATCGAGGCGAGGCTCGTTCTGGGCCGTCGGGTGGTGACCCCGCCCCTCGGGGGGTCAGGCGAGGCGGAATTCGTCCCTCGGCCCTCGGGCGAGACCGAGCCCGCCTCAAGGCGTCAGGCGAGGCGGAGTTTATCCTCGGCCCTCGGGCGAGACCGAGCCCGCCCTCAAGGCGTCGGGCGGCGGAACCGAACTCCTGTCACTCGAACAAGGGATGACATGGAGCCCTTATGCATCTAGAAGTTTTTTACGTTCGGTGGTCATCGGTTCCACCTTCTGGGGTACCCTGGTATTAGGTCCCCGACAACATGTTTCATTCAGATGAAAGCGCCTCTATCTCTCAACGATAATCATAGGCCCTGTCCCGAAACGTGTGTGATCATGTCCTCGGCGTGTCGCAGCCGCCACCCCCACCCATCCTCTACGTCGTCGCCGTGCCCTACCCGCCCCCTACGGGCGTGGCTGCCCGCCCACCTATCCTCTACATCGCCGTTGCCACGCCCCACCTGCTCTCGGCGCTATCGCTTAACTCGCGTGCGGCGTTGCTTTTGTGCACCGCCAAGCTCCGCGTTGCCCGGTGAGCTCCACTCCGCCGATATCCGTGCCATCGGCAAGCTCCGCGGCGTTGAGCTCCATGCCAGCGACCTCCACACACCGCCATCGAGCTCTGCGTGCCGACGAGCCTCCGTTCATCCAAGCAGAAGGAGATGTTGCTTTGGAAGTCTATGTTTCAAATGTTTGGTGTTTGAGTGCATGTTGCGGTAGGTGTTTGTTTACGGATGTTGCAACCATGATATTGTACATGTTTCAACGACAATCCGGGCATGTTTCATTAGTACATCGCCGATGTTGCGGTGAGTGGGCCTCAAGGCGTCCGGACGGAAGCCAACGTCCGCATGCTAGTTCTGCCGTTATAATTAATTAACCTGTCAAGTCGTCAAATCTGCTGATGTGTCACAGTATTAAAGGCAAATGAAATTCAGATGAAACCCCTCATTCTGGCCTTATAAATACATGCAGACTTATTTCTAGAGATCTAACCATCTACACTACTACGCTTAGTTCATGGCTTCACAACTATCCATGGGTATTTGTTACCATACTGGTTTGTGCATAATTACGCCGTAAAGTATATTCACTGCTGGTGGTGAGTCACTGGACGTCACTAGCTAGCACCTGATGAACTCAAGCCTGCTAATGTAATTCAGAGAGAGTTGTGCTGCTTCTTTTTATGGTCCACGCAGGAGGGGGAGGATTCCCACTTGGATTTCATTGATGCCTCAGGATTTGTTTGACTGCACACCAATTCACCTTAATCCACATATGTTAAGAGGTGCTAGGGTGTATAATTAGTTAATTTTTCACCAGAATATTTCTCAACCGATGTGGATTATATTGATATTCAAAGAGAGTTGAGATGATTTATTAGCAGGTCAGCTGCTTTAAGGACTCAAAGTACGTACGCCTTGTGCTCGTAGGATGCAATCCAAGAAAGTCCAAACGATAAGAATCTCACTCTGTCTCAGCTTCAGGATCCAGACAAGGTGGACAAGTCAAAGGTATAGGTTGTGTGAGCCAATCACTTAGCTACTCTAGGAGTCTAGGTGTGAGGTCACGAACATCTATTCGGTTGGTGGCTAACACTATCATTTCTAACCGTTAGCTGCGCTGTAACTTACTTGAAGACAAATGAATGTTCATGGTGTCTTATCTCTATGGCTTATTATATGTGTCAATGTGTATATGCATCATCTTTATTGCTAATTTTTGTGTGTGCTGCCCATTATATTTTGTCTTCTTTTCTAAAGGAAGTTTGGACCATTTTTTTGGCCTTTCCTAAAGGGATGGTGACCAGCGAGTCATGATGCCTCACCGAGTCATTCTTTTTCTTTTTTTCGGTGCACAAAAATTTGCAATTTATCTTGCATTCCTTAAAATATCTACCATGGCTGATTGTTGGAGATCATCTTTTAAAAAAAAGAAAAAGAATTTGAAAAGAGCAGCTTGGGCGTCTTAATCGTGAGGCATGGTTGTGTCGAAAAATTTGCCTGCTAGACATATTGGCACACACCGTGCAGTTGTGAGGCAGAGAGAGAAGAGAGCTGCGTTGCTCACACATCTGTCACTGTGAAGATCTTGACTTTAATCGATCGTGATCCGTAGATAAGAAGTACTGCCTGATAGCCACAGGAACACAGCTTCTGTGAAACTCTTCTTAATAGATGAGCTTGTGCCATCACGGCAGTACAAATAACATTGAATTCACTGAATCTTTATGTACGTCCCTCGCCAAAAGCTTGCCTTGAAAGGCTTGGACTTGGAGAAAGAGAGAGAGAGAGAGAGGACAATTCGTGCGTGCAAGTTTCTCATCCACATTCGTCAGGTGTCAGGGCTGTTATGGTCAGATTGATGGTCCTG